ACACACACACACTACTATATATATATATACTATATATATATATATATATATATATATATATATATATATATATATATATATATATATATATATAAACACATATATATATATATATATGCAAAAGAACTGGGATCGAGTGGTATTTTTGTTTGATGCTATGGTATTCCTGACAGGACCACTACATGACTTGTATGTAAATCGGCTATAGATCCTAAGTCCAAATGAGCACTAAATAGAACATCACCAATATGTGCTCCACGAATAACAGCTTTATGTTTCTAATACTAACTGCATACACATGACAGATGCGCCAAGGGGATGTTTCCTTTGTCTCAGGTGGCATCGAGACAATCAGAGTACACAACCGACATCAGATTGGTACGTCTAAATCATCGTACATATACTTTGTATAAGTGTGAGATAGTATGTACACACGTGTACATACTCTCTCACACGGGTACATACTCTCTCTCACAATTATCGTATATATACATGGTATGTGTATATATACTAGTCGCAGTGCAGGATGATGCATGTGTACCAAAGTATGCATCTTTATGCACTAAGGATGTATATGCATTAAGGTCATCATGTGAGCATCACAGAGCGATGCTGCATACTTCTACCGGAGTGCTAGCTTTGACTTTGAATATACAGTCCACCATCGTCAATCGGGGGAAAGAGATTGATTTCTGGATCAAGAACTTCGACCCCTTGTCCCAGCGCATAGTTAGAGTAGACGAAAAAGTATCAGAAAGTTATTCAATACAATCATATATATACATATGTATATAAGCACACACACACACACACACACACACCCACACCTACTTACACCCTCTACCACCCACCCATCCACACACACACGCACACACACACACACATGTCTATCATTTTGATATGGAAATGCTATCATCTATAGTTCCTGTGTGGGCTCGCTCACTTTTCTTATTTAACTTTTCCATGAACCCACGCATGTTTCTATCTATCAGTGAGCCTCTGCATATCTAAATATTCTTTATTTTTAGTATTCAAGGAAAGCTATTAAAATAAAGTGCACATGTAATAAACACACGCATATACATACACACACATATATATATATATATATATATATATATACATACACACACACATATACATACATATATATATATATATATATATTTGCGACACACATACACAAATCAACACAAAACCACACATATTCATGAACTAGCAGACAGGTCCGCTTGTATCCATTTCAGCTCGTACCTACAGCCAGTCAATAGGACTGGTACCTACATACCGCATAAACGATTTCATTTCCTTGAGTTCGCTCTTTTTGTTTTCCACAAGAATATTCTCTTCCCCATCCTCTGTCTTCTTCCACAACAGCACAAACGATTCTGCGATAGCGCCAGTGAGTGCGCGTGTGTTAATGAAACGGAGGTGGAACGGCAATGTATCATGTGACTCAGAGACGTATTGTAATATGTATTTGCGTGTGATGTGCATGTGCCTATAGGTCAGTGCAGGTTCAGCGACGGTTAATGTACACACGTTTGATTTGGTAGGTAGACCCATGGGGTGATGATATCACCTCAGTATGAAAAGAAGCCTCAAATTGTGGGCACAAGTGCCTGTCTGTTTAAAGTTGTATGGTTGCTACACTCGTATGTACACAGACCGCTTACACACTTTGACATCCCGTGCGCTTGTATATAGACTCGCATATACTTCATACATATGG